TGCATACACATGCAGTTTAGTGAACGCTATTGCTAATAGAAGCATCCTTCATATAAATGTCGTTATCATTTCTCACTAGCCATTGACTTATCAATGAAATGTTGAAACATATTTTATTGACTTAAATACGATAAAGGTCGAGGTATTTTTCCGTGCTAATTAGGAGGTATTCGGGTTTCTTAAAGCACCCAGTTAATCTTCTAGAACAAATGCAGTCATTTGTCCACTATGCACCATGTAGTTACCAGGAATATATCCTATGGGTTTAGCCCTAAGGTTTGGGTTTAGCAAGATTTGATCATGTGAGTCGGGCTCTAGTTAAATTGGAAAGATGTACAAAATAACTTGCTGGGCATCCTTCCACATATTTTGAGGTTAAGTGAGATGCAAATGAAGGCTGAGACAGAATTCATGGATGAATAAATGGCTTAAATATTTTTTTTCATTCTTTTATCTAGTGTTGCATGAATTGTTTCTAAATTAAATGGTTATTAATATCAACACGAATACGAAAACAATAGAAATAACACAATCAAAATATAAAATAATTTAAAACAACCCGATATGACTCAATTGACATCTTTTAATTGGCGACAAGGCTAACCCCAGATCTCATCAAGATAAGTATACCAAACATTCAAAAAAAAAAGCTTAGGTGCTTACAAGGTCGATTTGCTCATTCTTGATCTCCTCCAAAGAGATGGTAGAGGACATGATTGTTTACAGAGAAAAAGAAGGCACAAACAACCAAATATGAAGGAAGAAAGATGAGAGCAGCTTCCTCTCTCTCTATCTCCCTCCTTTTGGTCTCACTTCTACTCCTCTTTCTCTCTCTCAGGCCCCCATATGTATGCAATAAAAGAAGAGATTCAAAATGAGAGAACCCAGAAGGTATATATAGAGACCCCTCTCCTTTATAACCAGGTGTGGACGTCCGTACGACCTCGATGGCAGTGGACAAACCGTTATTGACCGTTAATTTCTATATTATGGATGGCTTGTTTTGGCTCCAAAACAACCGGCTAACATTATGGTTAGAGCTTAAAACATGGACTGCCATAATGTTCGTCATTGTCCAAAACTGAATCCGATTAAATTCTTTCCAGCTTACCCGTAAACCCCGTATTTCCGGTAATTGCTATGGTTTCTTATTCGGGTTGAACTCCTCACTGCAAATAGTCGTGTCATTGTCAGTGAAAACCAAGAGGCTTCCGAGCAAAATGGAATCAACCATCTTCCAAACGAGTAAATATTAGGCGTAACTATTGTCACATAGTGTTACTAATAATAAACCAACAAATACTTTATCTTTTTCTCGTTGCATTATTATTTTTATTTTTTTTTGTTATAAGGTGTTTAATTTTGTGCAAACTAATTCTTAGAGTTCAGCAGTCGACCACCGTAATTTGATATTAGTTAAAACATGTCCGTAAAAGAACAAAGGTACTCAAAGGTTAAATTCAATTAATGAACCACCCTAAGGATTTCTTTCATTGCATTCAATTAAACCAGAACCACTATAATTTGAAAGATAGGTTATTTGGGTAGTCGAATGACCAATGAAAATGCATGATTCAATGTTCCTATATGAACCATCAACTCGAAGGGCACCGAAGCATGGGCGGAACTATGCATACCCAAGGTGGGCAAGTATAATATATCATTTGTACCCGCTCAAAATCAAAGACAAGCATACCAAGCCTACCACCTTCCCCCAAAAAAATTGAAAAACCAAGCCCACATAAAACAAAAAAACATGATGGGCCTATATTATTGAAATTTGAGTATCGTACAAAAAAATAAAATTTAATTACGTTAATTTGTAACTCAAATAGACCGAGTTGCGACTCAATAGAATTGAGTTAGAATTAATCCCCAAAATTTGGGATGGATTCCAAATTATTGAAATTTGGTATCAATCCAATTTTATAACCAATTGAATTCTCAGTTGATCATAGTATATTATATCTTCTCAGTTTTTTTATGGGTATGATATGAAGTTTTAAATTTTTCTACAATACTTATAGTCATATAGATAATAATTAATAGTATCGTAAAGGCAAATAGAATAATGAGACAAATTTTTTTTTATTATTATGGCTTTCTTCAAATGACTTTAATTTTATTATTTATGAATTTTTGTAAGTGAAAGTTCTTGCAATTAACTTTCATTTAACTTTTTTTTTTCTATTTACAAAAATTCGTCTCTATTTTTATTCGAGTATTGATTATAATTTTTATTATGTGTCAATCAATTTTAAATTTTTTTACTATTTTTAACTCTTAAATTTTTGTTTAATAGTTTTACTACGTTAATATCTCAGTGTGTTTAAAATATCATTTATTTAATAAACTTAATGGATTGTTAGTGAATAACTAATATTTTTTAATTACAAAAATGACAACTAACTCCATTTTGTTTTGAACCATGATGATAATTAGTTATTTTTTGTACATATATAATATGCATTATTTTTTGGCATTTTTTTATGTTAAATGGACTTCATGTATCAAATGTGATATAATAAATATAAATATATTATATAGTGTGATTAGTTAGAAAAAAAAAAATTAAAGTGCGTAACTAAAGTGACCGCCCTAAACAAATTTTTTGATTCCGCCCTGCACTGAAGTCCATCTGTCTAGTGTGGAATTTGAACAAAATGCTTCTCGTAAATTTGGTCAAAATGATTCCGATTGATTGAATTAGACCAAAACTCGCAATTTTTACACAAATTTCAAAGATCAAATGAAAAGGTATTAAATCGGAAACAGGTCAACCCTGGACAAGGACAACCCTAAGCGCTAATAAGGAGGCGGACCCAACTCCCAAATGGAAGAGGAATCATAGGGCTCTTAAATGGGCAATGTAATGGTTACAATATGATGGGGTGTAGCCGTGTAATAAAAAACTTATCAGAGGCAACTCAAGAAAACTTGAAGCCCAAAGTGACATTTGTAAATGAGGCCTTTTTTTCAATTGTTTGTATCTCTAATTTCTCTATTATTTCTTGTGATATGGTCAACCTTAAGTAAGACTTTATTAATTTAAAGTTTTCGTTACTAATATTTTTTTTATTTTTTTGCATCCAAGATGGTTGTTTTGCATATTTAAATCTCATCGTGAATATTTTATTATTATTATTTTTTTGTATTATTTTATTATTTCTTATTCTTTGGGATCTATTAATTGTTTATTTGCAAGACTTTAACCTATTTTTCTATGACTTTTTGTTTAGTAGCAAGAATAAAGAAATCATTTTGTGATTCAATTAGTTTAAAATTTTCTCATTTTTTAGAAAGATTTTTCATGTTCAAATGATTATTTTCTAGTTGTCATATTTATAATACATAATCAACAAATTAATTCTAAATAACCATATAGTATCTATAATTACAAAATATAACATGAACTTAAAATTACAAAAAATATAAAAACAATACAATTTGATTTGTCACGGTTATTTGTAACATTAAAATATAATATTTTCATTCTTTCTTGATCAAAGTTTGCAAAATTAAGTGAGTTATATTATGTGGGTTTGATTTGGTGTATGATTTAAGATAAAAAGTTGTGTGTGTATGAGAGAGAGTGAGGAGAATTTTGCTTTTACTATTTTTGTTTTACTGCACTGAATTTTGACTGTTGCAACAAAAATGTGTAGACCGTAATTTTAGCCCAACTATTGAATCTGAAATTTAGCTGTTAGGTGTACATTTTATTGGGTCTTTTTTGGAGTTTATATTGTCATGTATTAAAAACTTTGACTGAATTACACAATAAATTAGAAAATATGGGCCTTCTTTGTAGTTGGGACCTAAAGTCCGCGCTTTTTCGGTTACACTATGGGGCTGGCCCTGATTGTGATAATGACAGAAAGCCAAGAGCCCTCAAAGCTGTCCGGAAAACAAAGAAAGATAGTCCTGAGCATTCCTCTCACAAGCTCTGCCCAGAGTTGCAACAAGTTATAACACTTCAAGCCACAATTTGGCTATGAACAAGGAAAGCAGGATCAATGGGAGTGACAGAAAAAGCAGTTTACATAAACTCAGAAAGTTGAAAAACTTTCTTGCTCTTTCAAATCCAGATTGCCAAGAAATAGCAGTACTCTCAGTCACAACCTTCCTGAATCGTCCCAAATACCTTGAATATAGATAAGCCAATCCACAAACCAACCATGTAATGTCTATTGTCTAGTCATGCTGTAATGCTCTTTGTTTCTTTGGCATTTACCTTGTCCAGGCTTGAAGCTAAGATTCATTTTTTATTGAAAATCTGATTACACAGTTTGGCTTCAAGGTCTCCTTTTCACTCAAGCAAGACAAGACCATATCCTCCTTTGGTGACTATGATGATGTGTGCTTCCACAGTCGAATAAAATTACATAAAAATTGATCCACACATTCCATTGAAGATGAGGGTTGAAAAAACTGATTAGTTGATGGAAAACACCTAAATAGGGCCTTCAATACTGATGTTTATATCCAGTACATATTAGAATATCACCATATACAATTTAAAAATTATCCTCCTAAACCACTCGATAGTTTTATGCTATCTAAATTTCACCCCCCCCCCCCCCCCCCCGAAAGCTTTTTATTGACTGTATGGATAAGCCATCACCAATTTGCAGCACTTTTTCATTTTCAATTGGTTGATGGTTTCACGGACCAAAAGGTCCAGGGCTGTTACCTCCAAACATGGAGCATGAATAGTCTTTCTACCAAGAACCAAACATTTTTAAAAGAATGTGTACAAGAAGTAATATACAAAAAGGATACAATGACGATTATTATAATATAAATGTAACATAATCTCATATAGTGAGAACATCTAATTATCATCCATTTCATTCCAATGAACCTTTCTCTCCACCTTTTACAAATCTCATTCAATATTCCTATCACCTCTACAGTGTAGACATACAAAGATTCAAAAAAAAAAAAAATCCCCTTTTACTCTTTGCTTCCGCTGCTTCTCAGCATATAATTTGTCATTCTTACACAGTGTAGTGTTGTTGGATGGTTTCAATGTCCAAACCCTTTAGCTTTACCACTGATTCAACGTGCCCCTTAAGAGTATGGAGCTCTCTTAACCTGAAATTTCATATCTTGTTAGAATACAAAATTTGGTTATTAAGAGAATTTATTAGTAATAATCACATAGAATTGAACTTTTTATAGATATAAAACATGTTCTGCAGGCCAACTTTAAGTTTATGTGCAAAAGTAATTGGTTTTCCTTTTAAAGTTCTGCTGGACATGCTTCAGATGGTCAAGAAGTCTATGTAGGCTGCTGTTTTGTTTATACCTTGCAACTTCAGCACGTCTCTTAGCCTGCTCAGCAATCTCAGACAGCTCCCGGTAATTGTTCTTCTCATTGAAGAGGCCTGGAGTTTCTGCAGACTGGAGACCGTGAAGCGTACGTTGAGCCATCGCCCACTGTGCCTCTCTCTCCCCCTTTCCATAATCCTTCTTGGTTGTGAAAGCCGTCTAGACAATTAAAAAGGAAAGTTCAAAAGTGGGTCCAAACATAAACGCTAGCAAGCTCTAGGGTGCTTTACAGCCTTGACTTTGTCTATGATTTTGTTCAAGTACCTTGTTCTGGATCATGGAATCCCACGCCTTGCCACTCAGTGCATAGCGGATGATGAACTTGAGGACATCAAGAGGGAAATAGGTAACAACACTGAAGATCCAGATCACTCCAGCCCATCCCCAACCAATGCCTTCAATCCTAGCAAAGCTCCATTTTGCATACACAGCAATGACCGTAGCCACCTAAATTGGTCATTCACTTAAGTTAGTAACTGTGTGTTGCGATCAAATACATCAGAAAGAGTCAACAAGGATTTCCATAAAAAGTTGAACAATATCTCCCACACGACTTACCAATTGGGCTGCAATGAAGGCGCTAACAAGCAAGAAACCAGGGCGCTCAACAAATGACCAGCTCCGGGACCTAGTCACAAAGATGAGTGCTTGACTCACAATGCTCACTTGAAGGTAAAGGGCTGCGGTAAGCTCATCTGGGTGGCTCCTGATCGATCTAACACCAAACACTTTCTGCAAAATGATAAATAAATTAGTACTTTATTTATTTATTTTTTTGAAAGGGAATTAGTACTTGATTTTAATTTGATATGACCAGTGTAGTGTCATTCAACATACTGAAAAGAAATCTGTGTCAGCTGCAAGCCAGAAGAACACCACAGTCATGATAGCTAGGTAGCTTCCAAGGACAACACCAGTGGCAAAGATTTCCTTGAGCTTCCATGAGTCGGGCAGAGGAGATGGCTTCACCCTGTCCTTTGATATGGTCATGATGGTTCCATCATTTAGGATGGCAATGATCAGGACCATGAAAGGTGAGAAGTCAAACTTCCAGATCAGAGCAATAAGCATGAACCCCATCACAATACGAATTGTGATTGAAACAGCATAGATGGTGTAGTTCTTCATCCTCTGGAAGATTGCTCTGCTTGTCAAAACAGCACTCACAATCACACTAAGTCCTGGCTCGGTCAGTACAATGTCAGATGCACCTCGGGCTGCATCAGTTGCGTCTGCCACTGCAATACCAATGTCTGCCCTCTTGAGTGCTGGAGCATCATTCACCCCATCTCCAGTCATTCCGCAAATGTGCTTTCTCTCCTGCAGCTTCTTAACAATCTCATACTTGTGCTCTGCACGGCCCCAAAACCATCATTAAATGCATTGGCAAACAATCAATTTTGTCCTAACTTATTGCAAATATACATCTTTTTAATTAAATACGATCCAATTTACCTGGAAAAACTCCAGCAAAGCCATCAGCCTTCTCAATGAGCTCATCAATAGGAATGGAAGCTATGGATTCATCCTTACTCTGGCCTAGGAGTGAAGACGAGGGATACATGTTGGTGCCCATGCCTAGCCTACGACCAGTCTCTTTCCCAATGGCAAGCTGGTCACCAGTGATCATCTTGACATTGACACCGAGATCAAGAGCTTTACGGATGGTCTCTGCACTATCATGTCTTGGAGGATCAAAGAGAGGCAACAAACCAACAAACTCCCAAGGTGCACCAGCACTCTCCTTGGTCTTCTCTGGTACAGTCTGTAATAATACCAAGCAGCCATATTTAAGTTAGCAAGGAAAGCTCACCAGCCTAAATTCTCTAGTATTATGAACAAATGATGCACATTAACTCACCTGTCGTGCAACACCCAGAGATCGAAGACCACGATTGGCAAAATTGTCAATGATTTCATGGGCCTTCTTTCTAACATCCCCCTTGAGTTCACAGAGATCAATAATCTGATATAGCAGTGAATGAGTTAGATCTGTGAACCAAATCCTTTGCTAGCATACTGTCACTAGTAACAGGGTGTCTTACTTGCTCAGGAGCACCCTTGCTGCTGCGATGCCAGTTGCCATTGGTGTCAATGTAGGTGATTGCAGTGCGCTTTTCCACAGGGTTGAAGGGCAGGAAATGCACCTCTGTGATCCCTGCTCTCGCCTGCAAAGTTCGTGACAAAGCACTTCACTTATTCCAATATGATAGATATAAAGTAAGTTAACAGACATCTCATTTAGAGTTTTTCCAGTGAATACCTCCTTGGGGTCACCCAACATCCCAACAATGGAAGCATCAATGGCATCTTGGTTCTCAACTCTAGAAGCCATTGCAGCATGCAAGAGAACAGCATCCTTATCCGTGTTTTTCGGGAACACCTGCAACCATAAGTAATCCCATGATAAGATATTAAACTCTGTGCCCAATTAATCTTCTATCAGACCATACACAAACCAGAGTGATGTCCCCAATCTATGAATTTGGTTTTGAGTCACCAACCTCAATCAAGGTCTTGTCTACAGTGAGCTTGTTGAGGGTGAGGGTCCCAGTCTTGTCACTGCAAAGGACATCCATGCCAGCCATTTCCTCAATAGCAGTCATTCTCTTGGTAATGGCACCTTGCTGGGACAGTCTATGAGAACCAATAGCCATTGTCACAGACAACACTGTTGGCATGGCAATTGGGATGCCCCCAATGAGCAGCACTAGTAGATTGTCAATACCCTCTCTGTATTTCCGGTGCTGGATTGGGTACATAACCACCACCTCAATCACCATACCCACAGCAATGGAGCAGATGCAGAAGTTCCCAATGGCAGTCAACACCTGATCCAACCATTCAACACTTACTAGAACATTCTCTTTTTGTCTCACCAAAATTACATTGTTGAAATAAATTTTTTTGTGCCATGAAGTCGAATTTCAGTCCATCAGTTCTTGATCAAGTAGTAGAGAATACCTTTTGGAAGTGACCCACTTGGTTGGTGCTGTCAACAAGGTGAGCAGCCTTGCCAAAGAAAGTGTGGACACCAGTGGCAATAACCACAGCCTCGATTTCACCTTGCTTGCAGGTGGAACCAGAGAACACTTCATCGCCAGGGTGCTTTGTTACAGGCAAGGACTCACCAGTGAGGGCTGACTGGTCAATCTTGAGGGGATCTCCTTCCAAGAGACGAGCATCAGCTGGGATGATATCTCCCAACTTAACACTAATCAAATCCCCCGGAACCAAGATTGCGGCATCCTGCTCACTCCATTTTCCATCTCTCAACACCTTCAATGTTGTCCAAATAATAATCGGCACACAATTAAATTTTATTCCACAAATAATGTGAACGATGTGCACAGATAAGGATGAACAAGGATACCTTGGTTTTGGGAGCGAGACCGGCCATAAGGGCAGCAGCAGCATTGCCTGCATTGTTTTCTTCAATGAAGCTAATGGTTGAGTTGATAATGAGCAGCACAACAATACCAACAAAGTCTTGCCAATCCGGAGGCTTGCCCTGCATTGTTCAATAGATTTTTAGTTATTGTTTTTCATTAATTTGTGACCCTATGATTAAGCCACTGGAAAATTGAAAGAGAGATGAGCTTCATATACCCCTCCATTTGCCAAAGCAATGGCCATGATGGCAGCACACTCCATGACCCATGAAAGAGGATTCCACATAAACCCCAAAAACTTGAGAAGTTTGCTTTCCTGTTTGAGATTTGTATTCCAAGATCAAATTATCATCTACAAAATCTTATGCATGAAAGAAATTAATAAACACGAAAAAAAAAATTATATCGAGACATGAAAGAATGTATGCCTTTTTCTCTTCAAGCTTGTTAGGGCCAAAGATTTCGAGCCTTTTTGCTCCGTCATCTGATGTCAAACCCCCCCTTGAACATTTCAGCTGCTCAAATACTTCCTCAATGGGGATGTGCTCCTGCACAACCATGCCATTTAGTCAACATTGTTGTCAATAGAATCATCCTTACTAGAAATAGTATGAGTAGTTAACTAACAATTGGCTTATCACAAAGCAGTGAAACATATTGTATTGGCTTAAACATCATAATAGCCTGAGGTTTTTTTTTTTTTTCCCACATGCTAACTAAGAGGTATCTGGGCCGCTTAGATCATTGGCCTAATCTTCCAGGGAACATACAGTCCCCCCTGCACTCATGCACCATGTAATTACCGAGATAAATCTTATGCCAATCGTGTGAGTCAAGGTCTATATATATGTTGGAAAGAATTACAACATAAATTACTGGAATTCCACTTATGTTTGAGGCAACCAGAGAATTCGTGGATAGGTATATGAATGCAAAATCAAAATTCTGGAATAAAAAAAAAAACCATTGAAGGCTTATTGAGGCTCTGGCAGGTAAACTGCTATTCACTTGCATCAGGGCCACACAAATGAAGAGTACCCACATCTAATAATTTCCATTGCCATTCGCTGTTGATTTTGAGAACCAAAATAAGCTGAACACTTGAAGATTCAGGAATGAGCTACATAATAACACTATCTTGTACTAGGTTAGCTAGCTTATTTGGGCCTTTTGAGGTCATGGTAATAGTTCAAGAGACAATTCATGTCTCAAAAAAAAACTTAGGAATGATCTTAAATTTTAGAATCGATTTCAGACAACTCGTTGTGTTGTAAGTTAATTACAACCAAATTGAGTCCATTTTGTAATAATTTTAGCTACCATACCAAAAAAAAAAAAAAATGGTATTTCAATCTTAACCAAGAAAAAATCTTTAAATATTCAAAAGAATGAGAGTTAAAGGTGCTTACAAGATCGATTTGCTCATTCTTGATCTCGTCCAATGAAATGTTGGAGGCCATGATTTCTTTCAGAGAAAAAGAGGCCACAACCAACCAATTATGAAGGAAGAAAGATGAGAGCAACTTCCTCTCTCTTTCTCCCTCCTTATTGGGTTCTTCTTTCTCCTCCTCTTCCTCCTCCTCTTTCTCTCTCTGCTAGGCCCCCATATGCATGCAAATATAACAGAAGGGTCTTGCAAGGGAGAGAGGGAGAGAACGAGAAGAGCTTGTATATAGAGACCCCTCTCCTTTATAACTGAAGTGTGGACGTCCATACGACCTCGAAGGAATCGGACAACCCGTTATTTCGCCCGTTAATTTCTCTTTTATGGGTGGCTCATTTTTGGCGCCAAAATAATCGGTTAGCATATGGTAGGAGCTTGAAATATGGAACAAGTAAGAAGTCTACCCCACCCTCATTACAAGTTTTGTAGTGCGTTTTTATCAAATTTAAGAATTATTTATAATTTTTGAAGGGTACTTATCGGTTTTAAGGATCATTTATAAATTTTAATTCAATTTATAATTTTTGGAATTACTTGCGATCAATCTTAAAATTGTTAGAGTCGATCGCTAATAATCCTAAAAAATTACAAATAACTTACAAAAGTAATGATATGAACTCATAAGTTATAAAATATTTTTGTTATAAATAAATCTAAAACCTTATATCTTAATCCACAAAACTTATAAAACTTGGTGGGATGATACCGAATTTTTTTTTTCGAGGTACTGTAATCTTCCCCCTAAAATTAGTGTTTAACATTTTACCTTATGAACTATTAATTATTATGATAAATGTTATTTGAATCTAAAAATCTGATATAATTTATTGACCTAATGATGTGATGTCAATGAAACTATTTGATTAACATCAAGTTTCAAAGTTTAATGGCGTCCACAGTCAATCTAAAAATCATAATAAATTTGGTCAATAAATTAGATTTCAATAACATTGCTCAAATTTCAAATCTCGCAAGAGTTATATGGACAAATAAGCATAAACGGGTGTCAAACGTATCGTATTCGTGTGACCCACATGTTGTATTATTCGCGTCGTGTTCGTGTCAACACCCACGAAAAAAAAATTATTTAATTTTTTTTTAGTATTAAATATTAATTTAAATTATTTATTATACATATTTGATAATCGTGTCAGCTCGTATTAAGGGTTAGAGTTGACACCCGCTGCTGCATAATTACCCATCGGGTCTATGACTTGGATTTGGTCCTTTTCACTGTTTAGTCACCACCCTTTCTCGTGGAAAGAAATTTGGACCTTTTGTTATATTCTATTTTTAGCATTTGAATTTATTAACTGTGGTCAACTAGGATCATTTTTAGTTACCACTATCATTTAATTCACCAAATTTATACTAAATCTAGACTTTTATTTCCGAGTTTTGGATCTTATTAATTTTCAAATCTTACTGATTTTTCTAAATGAGTAATCCAAACTGGAAGGACTCAAATCCTCATTTATTTATGACCTTTAAATGATTATATATTTGCTTAAGTGAAATACTATATAACCTATACTTGTAATTCAAATTTATATATTAAATGAAGGGGGATCATTGGATGAGCGGGTTTCATTAACTTTTTTAAATGAGACTCACTGATCCAATGATCCCCTTCATTTGAGATGCAAATTTAAGTTACAAATTTGGGTTACACAGCATTACTCTTTGCTTAATTAAACTTTATCTTTCTCATTTTATTTTTTTTTTGTTTGGTAACGGGAAAATTCCACGGCTTATCCTCAGCAAGTAGAGACGCACTTATGTCGCTCATGTTCGTAACTCTGGGTAGAACCAAGGATAAATTGGGGTGTATGAACCGGTCTCTCAACTTATACACCAGTTAAATCAGGATTTGCGTTTAGTCAGGGACTCAAGATTCACACCAGAGACTTGATACGGTTAATCCAAACAACTGAGATCTTGTCCTACCACACAGCCACACTATTGCACCCAAGGGATTTTAAACCCCTGACCTCCCACTAGAAAGCCAGAGGCTCTGGCCAACTGAGCTAACCCAGGTGGTCATCTTTCTCAACTTTCTATCAAACTTCATCCATTGGGTTTAATGATCATTAATACAGCTTCATCCATTGGGGTTTTTATCTCAATATTAATCTCTTAAACTCAACAATTAACCATTGTGACTTAAATTAGGTTAGAGCATGTCCCTAAAAGAGTAAGGGATAACAACAAATAAAAACTAGGAGTTATTTGTTTACTGTCTTTGTCTTGTATTTTGTATTTTTGGTTTCAATTTTGTCAAAAATAAAAATAAAAATAAAAATATGTTTGGATACTATTTTTATTTTTGTTTATATTAGTTATCTTGGAGACAAAGACACAAAACTGGGAACAAAAAATTTGTGTTCCAGGAAACAAGCAAAATAGAAATGCACTAAAGAGAATTAATGAGATCTAGGTTTTGAACTTCTTTAGCAACAAAAATAGTTTTTTTTCGTGAAACTATTTAAACCCACCTCATTTCTTTCTCATCGCCATCGATGTCTCACTTTCTCTATTATCTTCTTTCCATCGCACTCTCTCCATTCTCTCACTGTCACCGACAAGGAGCAACGATCTCCCCTCTTCTCTCTCACCGACTGAGAGGTAAGCCCCTTCTCTTTCTCTCTCTTTCCCCCTCTCTCATCTCCTTGTTCTCTCTCTATAAATACACACAAATCTCTATGTGTTGCATGTGTGTGTGTCTTCCGTGTGTGTTTTGTGTGCTTGGTGTGTGTGTGTGTGCGCGTGTGTGTTCTGTGTGTTGGGGGTGTGTGTGTGTGCGTTATGTTTTGTGTGTGTGTGTGTGTGTTGTGTGTTGTGTTTCTGATTGAATTGAGATTGAGATTGGGATTTAATTGCCATTTACTTTAGGATTGAATTGTCATTTGAGATTGAATTGGGATTGGGATTGGGATGAATTATCATTTGGGATTGAAATAATTCCCAGGATTTGCGTGTCCCTCTACTGGCAAAGTTGTTGCTACTGCGTGACCAACAAAGTCTGAAGATGCTAAGGAAGAAAAGGAGATTTCTTTGATTTTCTTTTTTGTGTTACTTCTTGTGTATGGTTGTTGGTTTTGGGAGGTTCACTGGTGTAAATCTTTGGCAATAGGGTATCTTGAAGAATTAAAGCCAACTGGGTGTAATGTTAGGTTTTTTTTCCCAAAATTTGATTCTTGTAATTCTTTGATTTATTGAATATAATTTTTTCTTAAAAAATGATATAGCTTGAAGTGGTTATCAAATATGGTTTTTATTTTTATTCTCATAATTTGATAGATACAAATAACTTCCAAACATATTTTTTGCTTTAATGTTTACCACAAAATAGAAACAAAAATTGTCTCTATTTTTTATTTTTTTTAACGACACAAAAACAAAATCATTACCACATGGCCCCCAAAGACATTTTGGCGATGGTTCAAGAAGTAGGATGGTCAAGTGGCGTGTTGGTAATCATCCTATTCCTGCCTCGAAGGTAGTTGCGAATTTGAGTTTATTATTAGCCTTCATCTCAAGCCATTTCTGAGAGTTTATGTCTACACACAATTCTCATACCGCACAACTGTTTTGTGGAACCAGCCATTTCTGAGATAGTTTTCCGCTAGTGAATACCGCCGGAAAACTGAATAATCCAAGGTGGTTTTTTTTCCCCCCAATCAGATTTACGTGAGGAGGACAACCAGAATCAAACCTGCGCACAACTACGGGACAAACAAGTAAGGGACTAGGCCTGTCAATGAATTGTCTTTTAATCCAAATCAAATTATTTAATCAGATATAGATCAATATTCTCATCCGTTTAAATATCTTAAATCAGATATAAATATGGATATATACAAATTTAATCCGATTAAATATCTATATAATAAAGTACATTACAATTCAAATTTCAAAAGATAAACAAAATAATTTTTATTTTTTGCGATTGAGATCTCTTTAAATTTTATTTTAAAATTAATTCGACGACTAATATTAATACCCTAAATTTAATAAGAAAAATAGGGTCATAAAGGTGTGTTTAGAATAACTTTTTAAAAGTATTTCTAAACTTTATATCTTTTGATAAGTACTTTAAAAAAATATATATATATATTTGAAACTACCTCAACACCACCCACATCGCCCCACCCCGTCACCCCACCACCACAACTACCCCCACCACCACTACCACACCCGTCGCCCTACCACCACCATCACCACTACCACCATTCTTTTTGCTCCACCACTACCATCATCACTGTTGCGGCCACCCTACCACGCCCACCACCCCACCCCTACCACCGTTATCACCCCGCTATCACCCCACCATCACCTTTTCTACAACAACCATCACCACCATGGTCGTTGTTACCACCACCACCCCACAATTACCCCACCACCACCATTCCATCACTATATCCCATCACCATTACTATTGCCCACCATCATTTTCACCGTTTGCCCAACTACAATTTATACTTAAATTCATTTCTCTTTTCTCTATTTTTTGTAATTTAATTTTGGGTGTAAATGTAAATTTGTTTACTGTTGATTATTTTTTTTATTACTCAGGTGAAATAACTAGTGTATTTAATAAAGTAGTTTACAATTCAAATTTCAAAAGATAAACAAAATGACTTTTGTTTTTCATGGTTTAGATCGCTTTAAATTTCACTTTAAAGTTAATCTAACAACTAATATTAGCACCCAAAATTTAATAGGAAAAATAGGCCCCTAAAGGTGTGTTTAGAATGACTTTTTAAAAGTACTTCTACAAATTATTTCTCATAAAAACTACATTTACCACTACCCCCACCACCACTACCTCTACCACCACCACCACCACCATTGTCGTCGTTGTTGCCGCCGCCTCCACCACCGTCGTCACCACCACCACCACCACCACCACTACTACCACCACGATCATTGTCACCCACCATAACCATCACCTTCTCCTACCACCGCCACTATCGCCCACCACTTCTCACCTCCATTACTACCGATGCTTAAATT